AATTGAGCTGAAATTCACATAACATAAAATTAACCATTTTAAAGTGTAATTCAGTGACATTTAATAATTCACAGTGTTATGCAACCATCACATATTTCAAGTTCCAAAACATTTTCATCACCCTAAAAGAAAGCCCTGTATCCATTAATAGTCACTCCCTATTCCCCTCTCTACAGTTAGTCTCTGGAAGACACCAATCTGTTTTCTGTCTCTATGGACTTACCTGTTCTGGATATTTCATTACGTGGAATCATATAATATGTGGCCTTTTTTTTTTTTTCTTGGTGCCCTCTCTGAGGCAATATGTGACCTTTTATGTCTGGCTTATTTCACTTAGCATTTTTGAGGTTCATCTACTTTGTAGCATGTATCATTTCTATGACTCAGCATTCCATTGGCTATGTATATGTACATTGTACCACATTGTTAAACTTCCACAATAATTAAACCACTTTACTTTCCCACCAGCAACATATGAGGTTCCAGTTTTTCCACATCATTACCTAAAAGCACTTTTATTTTCTACTTATCTTTCATTACCTAAAAGCACTTTTATTTTCTACTTATCTTACTGTTCTTAAAAATATAACTTGGTTTGAAGTAGTATTTCATTGTGGTTTTTTTAAATATTTTTTTCCTTCAAGATTTATTGAGGTGTAATTGGCCTCATTATGGTTTTGATTTGTATTTCCCTCATGACTAATGATGTTGAGCATCTTTTCATGGGCTTGCTGGCCATTTGTATAACTAGTAAGGAGAAATGTCTATTCAAGTCCTTTACTCATATTTTAATTGGATTATCTTTTTGGTGTTGAATTGTAAAAGTTCTTTATATATCCTGGATACTAGAACCTTATCACATATATGGTTTGCAGATATCTCCCATTATTTGTTGTTTTATTGTTTATGCTTTTGGTGCCATATCTGAGAATCCATTGCCAAATACAAGGTCAAGAAGAATTATCTCTGTTTTCTTTTAAGAGTTCTATAGTTTTAGCTCTGACATTTTGGTGTGTGATGCATTTTGGGTTAATTTTTTTTTATTATATTGTGTGAGATAGGAGTCTAACTTCCTTCTTTTACATGCAGAAATTCAGTTACCTTAGAACCACTTGTTGGAGAGACTATTCGTTCCCATTGAGTGTTCTTGGCACCCTTGTTGAAAACTTGGCACCCTTGTTAAAAATCAGTTGGCCATAGATATAGGTTTATTTCTTGACTCAGTTCTGTTTCATTGGTCTATATGTCTTTCTTTATGCCAGAATCACACTGTCTTGATTGCTGTTGCTTTGTAGTAAGCTGTGTAATAGGGAAGTATGAGTCCTCCTACTTTGTTCCTTTTAAACATTATTTTGGCTATTTGGAGCCTCTTGCAATTCCATATGAGTGGAGGATTGCTTTTTTCCATTTTTGCATAAAAGGCCTTTGGAATTTTAATAGAGATTGCACTGAATCTGCAGATCACTTTGGATAGCATTGCTGCCTTTTATTAAGCCTTCCAATCTAAGAACCATGTCCCACAAATTTTGATATGTTGTGTTTTTGTTTTTATCCATGTCAAAGTATTTTCTAATGTCTCTTGTAATTTCTTATTTGACCTATTGGCGTTTTGACCCATATTTGTGAATTTTCTAGTTTTCCTTCTGTTATTGATTTATAATTTCATTCCATATGTGTCAGAGAAGATACTTTGGATGATTTTAGTCTTTTAAAATTTATTGATATTTGCTTTGTGGCTTAATGTATGCTTTATCTTGGGCAATGTTCCATGTGCACTTGAGAAAAATGTATATTTTTACTGTTTTTGTGTGGAATGTTCTGTATCTGTCTATTAGATTTAGTTGATTTATAGTGTTGTTCAGGTCTTCCATATCTTTGTCAACCTTCTATCTAGTTCTATCTATTAATTGAAAGTGAAAGTCTATAGCAATTTTGAACTGTCTCTTTCAGTTCTGCCACTTTTGCTTCATGTAGTTTGGGGGCTCTGTTGTTAGGTATGCCTGTGTTTGTAATTGTTATCTCTTTTTCCATCCTGTCACTTTTAACCTATTTGTGTTTTTGAATCTAAAATGAGTCTCTTAAAGATAGCATAGAGTGAGATCATGTTTTTTTTAAATCCATTCTGCCAATCTCTGCCTTTAACTGGAGCATTTGATATTTACATTTAAAGCAATTACTTATAAAGAAAAATTTACTTCAGCCATTTTATTCGTTTTCTATATGTCATATACCTATTTTATTTCTCAATTCCTCTATTACTACCTTTTGTGTGTTAACTGATTATTTTGTAGTGTAGCATTTTCATCCCTTTCTTGTTTCCTCTTTTTTTTTTTTTTTTATTGATTACCCTGGGAATTTCAATTAACTTCTTAAACGTAAGACAATCTATTTTGAATTAATAAACCTTAGTTTCAATAATATACAAAAACTCTTCCTATATAGCTCTTTCTGTCCCCAGTTTTTGTTATGTCACAAATTACATTTTCTTATATTGTGTTCCCATTAATATAGATTTATATTTTTTTTTTATACATTTGGCCTATGTCTTTTAAATTATATAGGAAAGAGGAATTACAAGCCAAAATACAATAATTCTGGCTTACGTAAGTACCTTTACTGGTGTTCTTTATTTCTTTGTATGGCTTTGAATTATTGTGTAGTTTCCTTTGATTTCTGCCTGAAGAGCTCCCTTTTGTTTTCTTGAAGGGCAGGTCTCCTAGCAAAGAACTCTTTTAGCTTTTATTTGTGTGGAAATGCTTAATTTCTTCATTTCTGAAGGATAATTTTGTCGAATATAAGATTATCGGTTGACTTCTGTTTTTCCTTTCTGCACTTTAAACATGTCTCCTATGGCTTTCTACAGTTTCTCTTAGGAAATCAGCTGTTAATCTTATTTGTGGATTCCTTGTGAGTGATGAACTGCTTCTTGCTGCTTTCGAGATTCTGTCTTTTGATAGTTTGATAACTGTCTCAGTGTGTATCTCTTTGTATTTATTCTTGAGGTTCATTGAGCTTCTTGGCTGTTTAGATGTGTGTTTTCTCAAATTGGGGAGGTTTGCAGCCATTATTTCTTCAAATATTCTTTCTGCATCTTTTTTGCCTTCTGGGTTTCCAATTGTGTGTATGTTGGTATACTTGGTGCTATGGTCTGAATGTTTGTGTCCCCTCCCAAAATTTGTGTGTTGAGACTCTGAACTCCAAAGATGGTGTTAGAAGGTGCTTAGGTCATGGGAGCCCTCATGAGTTGGATTAGTGCCTTTATCAAAGAGATTCTAGAGAGATCCTTTCTCCTTCTACCACGTGGGGACATAGTGTGAAGGCACTAGCTGTGAACCAGGAAGGAGGGCTCTTATCTGGTCATGGTGGCACCTAGATCTTGGATTTTCCAGCCTCCAGAACTGTGAGAAATAAATTTCTGTTGTTTATAACTTACCGAGTCTGTGGTGCTTTGTTACAGCAGCCTGAACGGACTAAAACACTTGATGTTCTACAGTTGTCTTAGGCTCTGTTCATTTTTTTCTTTTTCTGTTCCTCAGACTGGATAATTTCAGTTGACTTATCTTCAGATTTGTTGATGCTTTTTTCCTGCCACTTCAAATCTTCCATTAAAACTCTAATGAAATTTTCATTTGTTATTGTACTTTTTAGCTCCAGAATTTCTACTTTTTAAAAAATAATTTGTTTATTGATATTCTTTATTTGTTGAAAGTGTTCTCTTGGTTTCCTTTTCTTCTTTGTCCGTGGTTTCCATTACCCCTTTTGGCATATTTAAGACAGTTTATTTAAAGTCTGTCTAGTAACTCCAGTGTCTGCTTCCTCATAGTCTATTTCTATTAATTTTTCCTTTGTATGGATCATACTTTTGTTTCTTTGCATGTTTTGTAATATTTTGTTGAAATCTGAATGTTTTGAATATTATAATGTGGAAACTCTGGAAATCAGATTCTTTTCTCAGAGTTTGTTTTTTGTTGCATGCTATGGGTTCTAGTTTGGTGACTTTTCTAGACTATTTTTGTAAACTATTCTTTATTGTGTTTGTTTTCTAAAGTCTGTTTCTTTAGCTTGTGGTGGGCTCACATTTTGAGAGATAGCACCTTGAATACCTGGAGCTCCCCCTGCCAAAAAAAAAGGGGGAGAAAACTTCTAATTTTTACAGAATAGCTCTGTGCTATAGGTCTCCTTCTACCAGACTGTGCTCTGCCAGACTGTTTACACCTCTGCCTTAGCCTTCACTTCCTGCATGTGCTGAGCCTAAGATCAGTCAGAGGTGAAAGCATAGGGTCTTTGGGTCTTTTCTGAGTATACTTCCTGCTTTGGGCTCGTGTCTGGCTTTCTAAATTCCTATCTTTAGGATTCATGGGCACTTTTCAATGCCCTAATTTCCCAAAGAAGCTCTCTCCCCAGCTTTTCCTCTCAGGCTTTTGGCATATTTGCTTGCTTCAATTGAATTTTCACCTCAGGTGGCAGCAAGTTGTCATTTGCCTTATAAGGGTTTTGAGCAGAGCCCTCTGTGTAGGGGCTTTTCCACCCTGGGAGTTCTAAGTTAAGCGAAACAAAGAGAAGCACCTTGCCTCAGCCCTTCAGGAAGCCCCCAGACAGGTCGAAATAGACAGTTTTTCATTATAAGGTCTGCTCTGCTCTCTCTGAAACCTGGGACTAGGTTCTGTCATGGAGAATGAAAGCTGCTGTTTTCAAGACTACTGTGGAGGAGTGGGAGGGGCAAGAGCAAGTAAAAAAAAGAAACACAAACTTTCCTACTGTTTTAGGTTGCCTTTTTCTCGATTCACTGTTTGCTGAGTTGCTGGAAATTTTCTGGAGTTGTGACCAAGTTGATTCTGACAGCTTGATTTTTTCAGTGATCTGTGGAGGTGTGGGTTCTTAGAAGGACCTACTCTATTATAATTTTTGGTGATGTCAAAGATTTTTTAAAAATTATCACATTTTGCTTTAATGTGTGGAGGCCAAGAAATTAGATTAATGTTTACACAAATTGTTAACAGGATGGAATTCGACGTGGTAGACCCAGAGCAGATACTGTCCGGGATTTAATAAATGAAGGAGAGCATTCGTCCAGCAGAATCCGTTGTAACATCTGTAATAGGGTGTTTCCAAGGGAGAAGTCTCTCCAGGCTCACAAAAGGACTCATACAGGTAAGTTTAGCAAATTATAGAGAATGCCAAAAATAATACTTGAAATCTGATTTGATGTTTTGGTTTATAAATTGTTTTAGTTGCCTTATATTTTCTTATTGTAAAGTTTTTCCAAATAGGCACTGTGTAGTCAGTTTATTTTTTGGTGGAGAGGGATGGTTTTTTGAACAATGGTACCATGTGACTTAGTTATCATGGTGATTAATCTAGTTAGCACAGGAATGTTGTGGCTTTAGTTCTATTCTACTTGTTTTTTACTTGATATACCCATAAGTTGTCTGTATAATGGTTTAAACTGATTTGTAGGTCAAATACTAAAGTAGTAATTGTTGAGTTTTTAAATAGAATTTCCAGAGTCCTCAGTGTGCCCTGAGAGTGTTTGACCTAGCCATTAGATCTAAGCTGAAGTATAAATTTTCAGAATTAAATGTATAGTAGGTCAAGACTATCATACATCTTTATTTGTGTAGAGAAATTGTACTTGCATTTTAAATACCATATAGAGAGTGAAAAATAGTAATATAGAGAGAATCCTTGTTCCTTTCACAGAGATGGCCTCAGAAGGAGCCTATGATTCTAATAAGTTACAGATGAGGAAACTGAGGCAGCAAAACCCAAATACCACTGCCTACAACCTCTCATAACCTGAAGTCTAGAGCTATGCTAGCCATTATAGTAGCACATGTAGCTCTTGAGCTCTTTAAATGTTCCTATTCTAAATTGAGATGAGCAGGCCATAGAGTACATGTTGCTAGTGTAGATAAGCTTCAAGACCATGTGGCATAATAAAAAGATCCCTGAGTCCCAGTCTTGATCTACCACTAACCCATTGTGCGTCACCTGATATTTGCAGGCCTCAGCCTACTATGCTGTATGCCAGGGAAATGAGCCCAATGTCTCCATGGTATAGTTTAGTTTTAATAGTATCTGCTTTGTTAAAAGCTTTTCTTTTACTATATTAAATGACTCCCCTATCTTTTGTGTTATATTAATGTATATCCAACTATTATAACCATTTAGTACATTTCTAAATAATGAGAGAACTTTAGGGAGGACTAGTTACTGTTCTTTGAGTCATATTGGAAGAACCAGTATTTAATTGTTAATCAAAGAATATTTTTTCAAGAAATAAGTTTAATTATGATCAATATTTTTGGGCACTTCTTGAGCCTAGCATGGTGTTGAGTATAGGAATTGAAATGGAGTACAATGCATTTTTGTATTAAGGGGAGGAGTCCCATGATACATGAACAACATAGGATACTAAGTAAGAGGATATAGAGCTCAATTATTTGGAGGTAGAGGAGTTTCACTGAGAGCCTACAGGACTGAGATTTGAACGGGCAGAGAAGATAGGATTTTCAAGCAGTAGAACAAGAGGTGGAACTGCCTTCTGGCTAAAATGAATCTCAGGAGTGAAGTAAAGATTAACGCTGCTCCCCTAACCCAGTAGCTACAGTACAGATCTTAGGGGCCATTTAGAAGTCAGCAGATAATTTTCATTTATCCAAGGAGTATAGTAGGGTGTGGTAGTGATTTAGGGGGTAGTTGGTATGACAAAAACAAGAGTTCTATGCCAGCTACTTTGGAAGTAATGTGCAGACGGATTGACTAGAGGCCAGCTAGGATTTGTTTTAGGTGGGAAAGGCTGCTAGTCTGACCAGGGGAAGTTGCAATAGGAAGTAGTAGTGGAAGATATTTTAAAGAATCAGCAAGAGCTAGTGATTTGGATTATGGGGAGAAAAAATATGGGATAAGCTGAAGATGATAGCTTCAGGGATTTGAACATGGATACCTAAAAGCCCAAGGCCTAAAGAAAATATTGTGTGTCCAAGTCGACAGCTGCTCGATATGGAAGTACTGTTAGCATTTCCACTTATAGCTCTGTAGAGGCTGTGACATGTTTTATTGTTGTTTGGGGTCATGATCTATCTAAAGTTTGATTCTCTTCCCCTGCCCCTTCTTCTCACTTCATTGTATCAAATAATATATAACATCTTTCTGCTTAGGTGAGAGACCCTACCTGTGTGATTATCCAGACTGTGGAAAAGCCTTTGTTCAGAGTGGACAGCTCAAAACACATCAGCGTCTTCACACCGGAGAGAAACCTTTTGTTTGTTCAGAAAATGGTATGGTATTAGGAGATAAGTTTATGGAATAACTAGTTGTGAGTTAACAGTTAAAATATCTATTGCTTAAATTTTTTAAGAGGAGAGATTTTTGATCAGGGTTTTATAAAACATCATAAGCTTTCTTCCTTGCTGATTTTGATCCATATTCAATTTCTGGGAAAAGATTGAGTTTTGAATAAAGTATATTTTTTGGCTGAAAATCTGACAGGGCATTTAAATATACTATATCTAGTGGTAGGCAGTAGAAAAGTCTATAAAGTAAATATAGCCTTTAGATTAGGCGTTTACTTTAGTTTTAAACTTTTTAACTATTAAAGTGAAGGAAGCATATTATCGTCTAAATTTCTCGTCTTAATTTACTTTTCTCGGTTACTAGCGGAACTGACCGTTTTCCATGTCTGCTGGATGTCCAGATTCTGATGAATGTTTCCCTCTGTGTTTTGAAGGCTGCCTTAGCAGATTCACCCATGCAAACCGCCACTGTCCAAAGCACCCTTATGCCAGGCTGAAGCGGGAGGAGCCCACCGATGCTCTCAGTAAGCACCAGGCTGTGGACAACCAGGCTGCCGCTGAGTGGTTGGCAAAGTAAGGCTTTCTTCGGAGTCCCCTGCAGAAAACCTACCAGAGTGAAGGCTGAGGCTAGGGACTAGGACAGTTCTCTCATTTTATTTTTTTATTATTTTTTTTATTAAGTTTATTGGGGAAACATTGGTAAATATAATTATATAATTTTCAAATGTACCTTATAATTTGACATCTACATATTCTATTGTGTGATTGCCACCCAAAGTCCAGTTTCCTTCAGCTACCATATATTTGACCCCCTTTATCCCGTCTACTTTCCCCCGCCTCCCCCACTCCCTACCCTCTGGTAATCATTAGTTCATTGTCCATGTCCATGAGTCTCTGTTTGTCCTGCTCATTTGTTGCTTTTAGATTTATATCCCACATATAAGTGATATCATGTGATTTTCAACTTT